TCTTCTTCTTCTTCTTCTTTGGCACTACAGCCTGGTGTGAGCCTTGGCCTCCTCAACGACCCTCCGCCATCTGTCTCTGTCTCGCGCCACCACCCTCCAATTTCTGCATCCCAACACCCTTGCAGCCCCCTTCACTCCATCAACCCATCTGAGCTTCAGGCGGACTAAGATATCTCACACATACATAATAAAGATCTGGTTCTTTATCATGAACATGATTTCTACTCTTCATATTCTCAACGAGCAAATGACAGGTCATGGACAAGCTACTATACCTTGCATGAGTTGAGGGTGTGGCTGAAGCGAATATCCACATCATCCTTGTACAACTTCGGGTCATTTCTGATGGACTGCGGCATGGTAACTGACGATGTGTCTGACATTGAGCTGTGCAGCAAATCATTGAAGTGAACGTTGTCCATACACTAGGACATAATCAATTTCTTTTCAGTCTTCAACTAACCACACTTTTGGTGTATATGATGCATCTCTTCCCTCAAAAATGCTCCCAAAAATCACTCTGCATATTTTAGACTGAAGGTCTGGGATATAAATATGCTTTTTCTTCTTCCTGTAGCGCTACAGCCCTTCAAGTTTGACCTTGGCTTCTTTCTTGTATTTTAAAGTCTGTGAAAAGTGACTGCATGCATCTAACCAATAATAACATATTTCACTTACTAAGACCTTATTACAGTTGTGAAGAACCATACTATTTATTTTTTATTAAGATATTATAAATCAAATAACTATGCAGTACCTGGCTGATGTCACTTATCCAAGCAGCTTTCTCCTGTATGGTGGGTGAAACTAGGTGTACAACCATCTGGGGGCACCCTGTCTTCATATCAATGACGATTTTAAAGTCTCGATTGTGAAAGTGACAACTGCCACTTGAAGTCTCACTGATCCCACTTGACTGACTCGACATTGAACACACAGATGACTCTGCAGCAAAATGAAATGACACGACTATAATTACTTTCTGGAATTATTCAAGAAGCACTCATGTTGCTACCCAAACTCCCAGACTAGCACATTTCTAAATTCTAAACACCCACTAAAAAAGAGAAGATTTCTATTTTAATTTTCACATTTTAGTAATGGAACCTCTATAAAATGCTATATTGCAATTATATTTTTATGAGTGAATACTTCTTCTTCTTCTATGGCTCTCC